AACAACAACAAATTACATTTGTATAGCGCCTTTCACATCGGGAGGACATTGCAACACTCTGGAATTTATACATTTTATATAAGCGATTTGGTAACGTATATGTAGAGCTCTAAATATTCATAGAGGATTACCGTATTTGATTGGTATGTTGGCAATGTACTTACCTCATCGAAGCAGTTGCAATAGTGTTTATATTTGTGTTGTATGGGATCAGTATAAGTGTCAGTACATCCCCACTGAGTTAAGCAAGTTAGATTTCAATAGAAACGTTTGAAAGGACAAACAGTAGTATAAGTAATAGCTTTGTATTTGTTGCAAGACTACTGCAATACAGTAGATAAAGAAGCTTTATAAATCATTCTGCTTTTGCACTCACGGTTTAGAATGTCCTCCTAACCTGATTTGTGCTCTAGCCTTGTAATAAATTCCAAACCACCCATGTCTAATTGTTCAAAAATGTACTCTATTAGATTTTCAGTCTGTTATATGTTTAAATCTTTGAACTTGGATTTGAAACCAATAGTTGATTTTATGCTGCTTTTGAATTGCAGGTTTGCCTCCTAAGGCAACTGATAATATAGAGCGGATGGTTTTCCTGGTGCCAAATTTTGGAAAAAGTTGCCTCAACACAATTTGGCTTCATAATAATAATCCTTGCAATTTGATATAGAGCCTTATCACTTCTTCCCAGACGTCTCAAAGCGCTTCACAGAATATACTGTAAAGTGAATTGACCTTATTTTTTTCGGCAAAACGCGCAGTGAATTGCACACAGCAGTGTCCCACAAACAGTCGTGGATTGAGTGGCACGGTCACTCAACCCTCCAGAAACTATAGATGACCCAAACCTCCACAACCTACATTCTTTCCCACACTAACAGCATTACCCCTTTCCATACCAATCTTCACTGGTTCCCTATATCCCATTGGATTGAATGTTAAGATCCATGTTCTGACTTTCAAATTCCTCAACATGTTTCCGGCCCCCACCCCCCTACACATGAGCACACTTCTGTTTACACAGCCTTCAAGCAAAGAGGAAATTGGCACAGAACTAGGGCTGGACAAAATCCTGTGGGTAGATGCTGTTAGAGAATCATACCACAGTGATTTGTATTGGCTTATTTTGAAAGCCATAGAGAGTAATCAATCTACTTCTCTGATCCCACTAGTCCCAAAACCTATGGGAGCCCACTGTGCTTTGTACCTCATCTGAGAGATGCAGAACCGACCATTAATAACTGCCATCTTTGTTCAGAAAGGGTGCCGAGGGATAGTCCAGGGATCTTGAACAGTAGGATGGTCGGTTAAAGTGTGGCAGGCGATATGCAAGTCTTATAGCTTGATCGTTGATTGGCTGTAATCTATTGATTTGAGCGCTGACTCATCGCGCACAAAATAGGGTGGACGTTCGCTTTATATTGTCTAAGAATGTGTTTTGCACAGGCACACAACAGCTTGCATTCATATAGCGCCTCTCATGCCAGACTCATCCAGCCGTTTGAGTATTATTTCTCGGAGAATTACTCGGAGCACTCAATTTTTTTTTATTCTTCTTTCCACAAAGGATTAGACGTCTGTTCAGCCGCACAGAAACCATGTCAACAATGTGTTTTGTTCAAGTTGGATTCCTTTAGAAAGTCATTCCCAGAAACTGCTGTTCTTTGGCAATCTTGGTTGGTTTGGATAGCAGTTAACATTCTGTCATCCTCTTTCTACCTCCCCCCCACCCCCCCTGGGAAAAAAGGATGCATTGGGATTTCCTTGGGTTTAATAGGATTCTCCATTGGCATACCCACTCCTGCAGGTTGTCTAGGCATATCTCCAATTTGCCTGATGCAATACTCAGACTGCCGGGTGAGACCCAGATGGCGATGTCATCTGCAGACTGTGAGCAGGCCCAGCACTTTTAGCTCAGATATCGGAATGTCATTGATGTAAATTAGAAGCAGGAGTGGGCTGAGATCTGATCCTTGTGGCATGCCTGCTATCAGGCAAGATCTACTGGAAAACCATAAACAACTTTAATGCCAAATTGTGTGGTTGGCGAGGAAACTCGATATCCAACAGATCAATTCTTTCGGATGTTAAGCTGTGCCATCGTGTAACGCAAACTATCATGCTAAGACCTTATCGAAAGCTTTCTTGACATCCAGGAAAACAGCCGGCGTTTGTGTACTCTTTATTGAAGCTCAGAGGAATATGTTCTAATAAGTGGAGAAACTTTGTCTTTTATTTCTTCCCTTCTTCGTGAAGCAGTCGCTCCATGAGCACTAAGCACCCTCCACGCATTGTCCAAGTAGGGTTGCCACCTGTCCAGTTTTGTTCTGGAAAGTCCAATTTCAAGGGATTCTGTATAGTGTCCAGTCGGAAGCATTGATTAGGCACAAAGTCCAGTTATTGCCCACAGAACCACAACTCCCAGCTTCGTTGGGCATGTGCAGAGCATACGCATGACATAGTTTTTAGTGTCTGATTTTGAAAAACTAGAAAGTTGGCAACCCTATGTCCGGGCAACTATTTTTCATGTGCAAATTTTAACTCTATTTCAACAGGCAATTTAACTGTGGGTAGGTATTGTACTACCCACCTAATCCTGTCCTTTGCATACAGGTAAGCTTTCAGGCAAGGGTCATTGAATAACAATCTGGAGCATTTTTGCCATTTTATCTCCACTCCCTAGCCTAAGGCATTTGAGGCCAATTGTTGTACCTTTAACTTGTTCTCTGTCTGAGATTAGATCTCATTTTTTTGTAAAATACAATGTACATCTGTTGATACATTTGAGGTGACGCTACATTGTGGTTGCGTTATTTTTTGCTGGTGTGTTTTTCTACGTCAAATAGTTCTAAAATCTGCTCTGAAATCAGTTCACTGTGAGTCCAGATTTTTAAACTTTGCAGATCATAATTCTTAAAAAAACAGATGTAATGATAGCTTGAATTTAGTGATGGATGATGAACCTTGATGCAGTACTTTAAAAGAAATTAAATTACGATGTAAAAAAATTAAATTACAGTGTACCCTGCACTTCAAGCTTCAAAATGACATGGTGATAGGCCTGCTTAAAGATTGTATTCTTTGCTTCAGCTCCTGCTGTGTTTTGTGATGCACATGTATAGCTATCAAAAAAAATGTTTTTTCACATTTCAATTTTTTCTCTCTCAATCATTTGCTTTTTTAAAAAAAAAGTAATTCCTCACCCTATCTTCTGGCCTTGATTTTTGCACTGAAACTTGCTGCCAATTCTTAATAGGTAATGATCATTTAATTTTCTGTACTATGCTATTCTCAAAAAGCATCTCCAACCAAATAAACTAACATTCCCAACTGCAAGGAAGTTTTGTTTGGTCAAGGCTATAGCCTATCATTGTGTCAGCCTGGCTCAACTCTGACTCAGTGTGCAATCTTGGTGTTCAGTACAATCCTCAGCTCTCTTTCCTTCACATTTGGCTTTTCTTCACATTGCCTGCCTCTGCCTCATCTCATGCCAAATGCTGCCAAAACAATCATTCCCACCTTTATCTCCTGACTCATTCTTGAATCCATTCATTGCGAGTTGCCTTAGTCCCACCATCCATAAGCTCAGCTCTTGACAATACTCTGCCACCCACATCCTCATATACACCAAATTGCAAGCCAATTACTGCATATCCTCTCCAGGCTCCACTGGCTTCCAATAGATCAACTTCAAGCTCATCACTTATAAATCCCTTCGCACAGCACCTTTCGTATCAACCTGGCTTGGTGGTAGCACTCTCGCTTCTGAGTCAGAAGGTTCATAACCCAGATCAGGACTTGGAATAACGCAGTTCAAGCACACGCTCCAATGCATTGTCGGGTGGGGGGGTGCATTGCTGGGTTTGCTGTCCTTCAGATGATAGGTTAAACCAAGGTCCTGACTGCCAGTTCAGGTGGATGTTAACGATCGTATTGCACTATTCAAAAAGAAAAGGGAGTTTCTCCCGGTGCCCCGTCCAACACTCCCCCAAATAACATTGCTTATTCACTCCATGGCTGTTTGTGGGACATTGCTGTGTGCAACCGGCTGCCACGATACCACAAAATACACAGTCAAACCAATTTACAGTATATCCTGTGAAGCCCTTTGAGACATCTCAACAACCTGATAAGGGGCTATATCAAAAGCAAGTATTGCCGAGTTGAGGGAACAGACCGGGTGATATGGGGTTATGAAGTCAGAGAGGTAGGCAGGAGCAAGACCGTGGAGGTCAAGTTCTTTAAAGTTTAAAGTCCCATGCGATCTTTTGCTTCATGAACCTTTCCCAGAATCGTTATTTTGGTGGCCAGATGTTTTGTGATTTTCAAATGACCTAAGTTGTGCGTCCCTCTGGAGTTTTGGAATTCATGCTACTGTGTTATAAACTGGACAAGTTTCAGCGCACTGAGATCACTGGCTGATGCAGAACTACTTCTGCTTGAATTTTATCTTTTAAAAGCTTTTTCACTTCTTGGGGGATTTGACTTGCACTAACTTACACTTTTTCGTGAGTACTGGGCATCTTTGGCTCATCAATGTGGGAGCCCAGAATGGCTACCGACTTGAATTTTCAGTTTTCCACTGTGCCCCTTTCTCTCCCCCTTTAGCCCGGGGACATTGGTGAAGTGTAGCAGCGCTAGTGCAAATAATAACAATCCTTGCTTTTGACGAAGCGCCTTTTCTCGTCTTTTGAGACCTCAAAGCGCTTCACGGAATAAACTGCAAAGTGGAGTGACCGTGTACTTTGTGGGCAAAACGGCAACGGGCAACTGAGATCGGCTAGCTGGCCCCAGATTGAGAATACAGCCTACTTTACCACCGACCTTTCCTGCTACCTCTTGAATTGACTACAGTACTTTCGTTCGCCGGCTTGTGGTGAGGCTGTAACCCTCAGCCGCAAGTGGAACAAAGAAGGTGTGGCCCACCTCGAGATTCAAACATGATTGACTGACTAAAGTGGTGGCAGCTGCACTTCAGCTCCTCCCAACTCCCTGAAGTTATGTGACTGCTGGTAGACTGCAGCCCACACAGTACAGAGATTGATCGCAAGGGCGAACGATCGGAGTGCCTCGTGCACTCTAACCCAAGCTTTTTGGTCGGGTTATCTGGGAACTTTTACAAAGTATGGTCGCTTTCGACGAGATCCAAAACTTTCTGCCGACTAAAAGGGCGATTGCGGTGGTAGATGTTCAGTCACAGATCTCGACCACAAAGGAATTGGAGGTAAGAGAACTCTCTTTTTTTTAAAAAAAACAAGTCAACTTTCAATAACCGGATCTCGTAACAACGAAACGCGGGTTTGGTTTGACACGAAAGTGTCGCGTAAAGTAGAATTTGTATTACGCGCAAACGATCAGCAAGACTTGAGTTTAACTTTTTATTTTACTTTCTCTCTTTCTCTCTCTCTCTGTAATGCTGACTTATCAGCTGCAGTGGGTCCACCCAACAGCCTTTTTTTTTAGTTCAGGCAATTTAGTAGACTATGACCTAAGGCTACAAATTACACTCCCTGATCGGATCCAGTTTCTGCTGTGAGCTGTGTGGCGAGGTTATTGTGTTCAGTTGCAGGATCAACACCGCAGATGTACTTTGTCGAAAAACCTTAAGGTTTCTTTTACATCCTGGAAATAAAGGTGGAATTTGTGTGTTGGTTACATTTGTTTGTAGGTTTAAACTGAGAGATGGTAGGAGCACAGCAGTTATCGTTTGAAAAGGTATTGGCCAACTTTATTGGGTCCGTGAACAGTTTTATGGATCAATGATCTGTTTATAGTTTTATTTACCTAAGGAATTCTGATTATCAGTAGGAGTGTAAGTAACTCTTAGGTAAGCGTGAACGTTGCGCAGTTTCCTTTGATGATTTTTACTCCCTCGTCCATTTCAAAAAGTATCCCATTTCCCCCTCAAAAAAGTTATCAACTTTCTTGAAACAACTCCAAAGTTTTTCAAAGGTAATGAAATGCTTGAAGAATTTAATTCTCTCTCCCCTCCTCCACCACCACACACATTAGCATATTTTAAAAACTTTTACACTACATATTGGTGCATGTAAGGATATGGGATTGACAGTGGATTTAGCTGTTCAGTTGTTTAACCCTAAAATGCAGCTTTCCTTTTAAATTGCTGATTGCATGGTGGAGGGGCGGTGGGGGGATTGGAGAAACAACTTTTTATTAGAAATTTCAACAGCAGAGCTGTTCTCTGTAAAAAAAATAATTTGAGACTTTGTTTTAAAACCTTTCACCTTTCCCTTGTGACTTTTTAATTGAATTACAGATAGCCTATTTTCTTATGACTTAGTAAAATCGAAATGACCTGCTGCTTTTATGCCGGGCTGTGTTGGTTCAAATGGCTTTTGGAGTGTTTGCATAAGGGAACAAGCTTCCTCTCAGTGTTAACAAGTAATCCCTTTTTGAAGCTGCATTTTGTAGGTCTTGTTCTCTTTTCCTCTTCCATCTGTCAGTCTGTGACCCTCTTTTGATGATAAAGTGTGGTCTGGCTATCAAGAGTGGATGATTTTTTTTCCTGGCTTTGACACAACTAATTCCACTGTTATTCTTTCCTTACATTTCTTACCATTTTTCCCCCTCCTTTACCCAAAGGGCTATGGTTTTAATTTGCGAGCGAGAATGCATGGAAAATGTAACTCCACGGAAACGTCAGTCAATTCCTGGAATGATTTGGGCGAGCTGATCTTTTTTGCAGTTTCCCAATGCTGCTTTTTTAGTCAGTCCGCCTCAAAGGTGTTTTTTTTTGGTAAGATGTTCCATTGAAAGCACCACTGCTTGAACTTGGGCGAGACAAAATAAATAAATGTGAAAATCGGAGGTCGGGCGAGTTCTCTGACTCATGGAAACTATCCATTTGACAGCAAAACTTGGTGGACAAAAAAATTGAAAGCTGTATCCGGTGTTCTAATCTAATCAAGGAAATACCGAAGGGAGTTTTGTTGTTTTAAAGAACTGTGTATCTGCTTCTGCAGCCCCAGTTGACCTCAGAAACCTGCTGGTAACAAAGGTCCACACTATAACCTATGAAAACTGCAATTTAGGAATTGGCCAAACTCACTAATTCATTTTAGAGCTCTATTCTTTTGCCAAAAAGCAGAGATTGATGATTGAAGAGATTTTCTTTTGCTACAGGATGCACATGCTGGAAAATAATTTTTATTGTCCTCAAGATAAACTAAAGTTATTCCCACAATATATTTAACTAGGTTTGCAGTTTGTATGTGTCCAGCATCCTGTCCAGCCAAGCCATTTAGTTTCATTTTAGGTGTGAGATTTTACTTAAGATAGTGTCTGGGAAAGGGAGTTTGCACAATGTTCTATATTACACCAGTTAGAGGATTATTTAGCCTGTAATGTCATTTGGTGTGCTAAACAATATCCCTTTTGACTAGAAAAATACAAGTTTGACAGGTTTCTATTGTGTCATTTTTAACTTTGTTACTGGCAAGTTTCTGAGCTTAAAAAATATTTAGAAACTCTGCAAATCCCAACAGCCTTTCCAGGGTAGCAGTTCATTTTTTAAAAATCCGGTCGTAAGCATTGAGAGCTCTTCTGTTAACCTGCCCTTTCAGTTTTAGGTGCTTATTAACATTTTGGGGAGGACCCTTGTCAGTAAACTACTGTACAAGGAAAGGCACCTAACTACCTACTTGAGTTTCCAATCTCAGTATTCTCAATCAGATGCTTATGGACTTGTGGGCATTTCCAGGGTTTAATAGTTTTAGTTTGGGTTTCTAGAATTTGAAGTACAGTTATGTATCTCTACATTCAAGGCTAGGGCATCTTAGTTGCACAGATCAGTTAGTATAGAAAAGGTGCAAATTTACCATAAATGTCTAAAGCTACCTCCTGTAAGAGCCTCCTCCCATTTAACATGATCTATCACCTCATTGTTAAGAGTAATTCCTGCCTTTTGTCTTCAGGTCCTGATTCAAATTGTCAATTGCTTGTAATTTGAATTGCAATGTGGGTGGTTTGGAGAACTCAAATTAGCATTTACAAGGGAATCACATGCACTAAACATGAGAGTTAGCATTTGAAATTGAAGGAGCCACAGATTTCCCCGACTCCATTGTAGAAGTATCCAATTTAAGCAAATGGAAACCAGAATGTTGTTGGCAATGGACAGCAGACCTGTTGCTGTATAAATGAGGCAATCCTGTTCCCTCTGGAAGCGCATATCCTGAGATTCAGGGTTTGACAATACTGTGTAGATGCTTCCCCCAATTCAGGATGCATTTCTTCACTTGGGAATAACTGCACATTGTATGGTCACTAATGCCCATTTGCTATATTGCAATCGGTGGGAGCCAAACCCCCACCATTACAAGCTATCTCAGCATCAACCCCCAGCACCAGAATCAATTGTGGCACCAGATAACTTTAATGGCTGCCTCGTGACACTCCTGTTGGCTAAAGACCGATTACCAATTGGAATTGAGGGTTGATCTCATCAAAGTCCTACACAAAAACTTGGGAGTTTCTACCCCACTAGCTTGCTCCTTAAGTAATGTGCAGACACCAGAAAAGATGTGAGGGCGAATTTGGATTCAGGCATAGCTTGTGGTTTAGGTAGAGGTCAGTCAGTTAAAAGCCTCACCAAGTTTGGAAGCAAGCCAAGGTTTTAAAAAATAAAGCGGCCTCCCAAAGAGTTGCTCGAGTGTCAACACCTCCACTTGAGATTGCTCTTTGTGCAGCAGGAAGGCATAGCCTAAGCTCACTGTTAGTTTGCCCCAAGAGGCCATTGATTGGTTTGTTTTTGGTTCCAATCACTATTGAATTCAAATGTACCACACTGTCAGCAATGAATCGATTGAAATTGGGTATTTTTAACTTGACTGTCTAATTTTACTATAAACAGTATAACCATATGCAACACAATACTGCAGCAAGAAAAGCATCAGCTGCTATTGTAACCTCAGAATAGCAGCAGCAGATTGTATATGTCTGGTGGGAACTGAGCCAAAGTTTCTAGATCATGGCTATAGAGTTGGTGCTGACAGTCTGAAATTAAACCACCAGCAAAACATGAAAGAATACTGGAGAGAAAGTTTCAAATCATTTGAGAAATTAGTGGAGGCCTTAGTTAATGCTATAGCTTAAAATTCTAACCAGTGTATATTGTCCGTTCACTGGTAAATGAGAAATCAGACATACTGAAGTTGTATCAAGCTGAGGAGAATTGATTCTGGAAGAGGATACAGGTTGTGAAGTCATTTTTGCCGGCTAGTCAGAAAGTGAACTATTACAGATGCTCTATAAATATATCTGTGAGTAAATGTTGATTTCAGCTGATGGGAAGTTATTGAAAGAAGGGAATTTTTGCGGAAACTGATTTGTAGAAGCAAAATATAAAGTGCATTTCTAATCTACTTCAGTGGCTTGTGAGGAAATAGGAAATGTGAGACAAAAGGAAACTTGGGACTAGTTTAGCTTATTCCAAGCAAGTGTAATGAATTATGCAATCTGCAAATTCATGTACTTTTTCTTTCATTCCCTTTACATTTGCCCCATTTCCCTTTCTAATACAGGATGTCTCAGCGTTCTGCAAATATAGCTCTGCATTTGTAGGTACGTGAGAATGGTGCAGGATTTGCTATATACAGAATCCAGTTGTGTTGCTGTATAACAAAACCTATAGTAAATAACTTTAAAACTTCAGTTCTTAGGGTTATCTTTTGTAAATGTTAGCAAATGGTCAGGAGCCCAGCCTTATCAAAGAAGAAATTCTGATTTGTAGGAGGCTAAAAGGCAGAATTATTTTTTGAGTATTGAAGTGAAATTCTTTGTGCCAAGTACAACTTGAAGATCAGTCAAATAGGCTGATTGAAATCCGAGAGGGTGTCTTCAAAACCAGATGATTCTGCTGCAGACAAGTTCAGTCTGATTTCTCGATTTGCCCTAAGGGAGTGGTTCTTTCTGTTAAATGGTATTTGAATTGCTGTCGTTAGTAATCCAGACTCTCCATTTCAGCCACGTGTGCATTTTGAAGACCAGTTGTACAGATTGATATATCCAGCAAGCAGTGAGCCTGTCAATGCTAATTATTGTCATTCTTCCTCAATGCACAACATCTTGGTTCACCGTGCTGAATTTGTTGTTGTACCTACAACAGTCATTCGCCTACACAATACACAGCTACTACACTTTGCAGTAAATGCCCATGAAGTGCTTTGAGACATCCTTCCGATGTGAAAATTGCTATTAAACCATTTAGACCTGGTAACTTACAGTATTATGTGGCTTGAATTTAGCATTCTTATTAGAACATGAATTGTTTGACGGCTGTTGTTAATTGCTGTAGGCAAACCTATCCCCCCCCCTCGCCCACCACCTGTGATTGTCAGGTGAAAGATACCTTGCACAAAATTCATAAACACTTTTAACATTGACAGACAAATTGGTAGCCATCCCGTGCGTGTACAAAGTACAGTTTTTACTTAAAAAAAGGTTTACCATACAAACTTATTTATTTTTTGTAACGTCCTCAAAACAACAAGATATCCAGCTATGGAGCAATTAATCAGTTTGTAATTTGGTTTTTAGAGAATATGAGATTAAACTTCCTTTAAAGGGCAAATTGTGTAGACCAATAAGTAGATATCTGGCAATTCTTGACTCACTGAGGGATATAGCTGTTACTGTTTGGTGTATTTGGCACATCTATAGAATTATTGACATTGCAACTGAAGACTTCTGTCATAAGCTTGTAACAAAACAGCTGCACTTCTGTGTAGTCTGTTGTCCATCTCAGTTAACAGTTGTGACAAATGATTGACAACTTCTAGTTCTCCACAAAGACAACTCAGTGGAATCGAATTCTAGTTGTTGGGTACAAATATAGATGAAAGTGAGAAGCAGCTGTCTACTTGACAGAAGATAGACGGCTGGCTTAACGTACCCACAAGGATGCGTGGGCACATTGCCTGTTGATCTATCAATATTCTTAAAGTAGTTCTGCAAAAAGCAGCCTATAACGTGCAGTGCAGAATCAATTTTAACTTCAGAATGTTTTTTGGAAGAAATTGGTTTCTATTGTGCAGAAGAAATGCAGACCGTACAGCATAGATTCTGAACTCCATATACTTTATAGATTGAAGGTTATTTGCAAAAATAGCCACATGTGCAAGGCATCCTGTAACATATTTTGAAATGGTTTGGCAAACGCCACATTACACGACTAGCGCACTTCAATCACCATGCCAAAGGACCAAGTTTTTGCATCCAATGAATCAACCCAGTTGTTTAGTGAAAGCAGACAATGATAATTCAGTCTGTCTGCTTGAAACTAAACTGGACAGGATATAGCAAAGTCTCCAATCTTATTCGTAAATCCTTGATTTTCCTAAAGCGTGGCTTCTTAATGAGTTTCACAGTCTTTGCTGGAATGGAAAGAAGGAAATATAAATGGGGAGGAAAAAATGTAAATGGAAACCAATTCTCGCAGAATTGTAAAGCCGAGAGGCCAAGTGTTTTTTCCCTATCAGAACATAGTTTTTATTCATCATAAATTGAACATTCTGCCATGCTTAATTAGCTACCTGTTTAAAGAATTTTGTTTTCTTCAGTGAAGTTTACAACACATGATACTCCTACTTCTGCAAACTAATGAGCTTAGTTTGCAGAAGTAGTCTCCTGAAATTCAGGTGCCGTTAAAACCTGTGCCAAAGGATATAAGGCATCGAGCATGATGATTGGAAAATGACTTGGAAAGTTAGTGCACCTTGAGACCCAATAGTTTATATGCTTATGCTGAAAGCTTTCTTTCATTCCTGCTTTCTGCCGAGGTTGTGGTAAGCAACTGCACTTTGTCACTGAAGTTCACGTTGCTGGAGCCACAGTGTCAAAGCTCGACAATGGGCAGGGATTCACAGCACAATGCTACACGTCATCAACACTAATTGGGATTACATTTCAATGGTGCTTAGTCGGGCTACCAAGATAGGTGTGGAGAGTTGAAAGTTTTGTAAGGGCGGAGGGGGGTTGGGCGTGAAGCTTGTCATGAGTGAACATAAAAGGGTAGTGAGTGAACCTCGCTTGTGTGGCCTGGGAGTTGCCCAGTACTGGTGCCAAATGCTTGATCATCTTGATGATCAAACAGATTCACCAGAAACCAAAAAATCTTGGGTTACAATAGGATCACACTTTGGTCTTCGAAGCAATGTGAGGTCTTGTGAGAGCTGTACAAATCGACCAAATAAGCTGAATTCGTAATCAGAGGCCTGAACTCTCACCTCGTCTTGGTCTATAATGGCATTTCGTCATCAAAAAAAATTAAGATTGTGTGAATATTGATAACATTTCAATTCATTCACATTTTCAAAGCTGGTTCACTTAAGATTTGCGGAAAAACAAGTTTCAAATTAAGCCTGCATTTAAGAAATATTCACAAACTTAAAAGTTTAAGCAAAATGTTCTGAGGGCATAGGTGGAACTTAGCTTCACTTTCTGGCCTGAAATCGTATCTTTTCATATGTGGAAACAATGCAAGAAATCTTGTGTGATAGAGAACATGACTAGAATTTTGCGGTATTGTGTGAAGACTTATTGTACTGTTGTTCTTTGCTGATGTTGGCCATGATTTTCCAGGAAGCAATATATCTTCATGAACAGTAAATATTTTTGTTCTGTTTTCGTAGGAGCCAAGCAACAAACGGGTTCGACCCTTGTCACGAGTGACATCTTTGGCAAATTTAATATCTCCTGCAAAAAATGGAGCAGTCAGGCGATTTGGCCAAACACTACAGGTACAACAATTTTACATTAAGACCCTAAGTCGTGATTTGTACCATGCCTCTTTGCTTTCTGTTTTCAAAACTGTACTATTTCTGCCAGCATTTAGACACTGAATCTGAACACTCGTGAGTGTTTTCTTTAAATCTTCCAGGTTACATTGAAAGCAAGTACGGTTAAGTTATTGACTTGCTTGTGAAGTCCTGATTGTAGTAATACAAGTGGAATCTCCTTATAGCGGCAGTTGTTGTGGTCCCATTATATCCCAACCAGCCCTTGTAGTTTGAAGGGTTAAAACGAGAAACTCACCGGACACTAAACTGACAGCTGACATCGCCAATTGAAATGTTGGAACAAAGTTCCCGTTTCAATCCAAAACAAATCATGTAAATCATGGATAATTTCACCCAGGAATTCTACAATTTCTACCAAGACTATCATCACATTTGTGCAGGAACCATACTGTTTAGAAGTGCTCAGTAAAAGCACAGAGCAGGGTTAGATAAAGTAATTGTGGAAATGTAAGACAGGAAGTTCTCTACCACTTCCATTCCTTGCCTTGAAGGAAGAGAATTAGCTTCCTCTAAATCTCTATAAGGGCTATTCCTGGATAAATGGTCTGTCTGTCCATGAGCAAAGATCAAATCCAATGTGATTATTGCACAGAAGAAATGTCATGAGCAAGAAAAAAACAGCAAGCAGTTAAAAGCTAAATTTAATTATTTATTTACATTTATTTTCTGTTTACCTAGCAGTAAGTAGGAACCCGGTTTTTAGTCGATTGGTGGATTGCTTTTCCGTCTTATTATTACTACTACACGAGAGCGGGTTAGATTAGGTTTGGTTTTGAAATGTTAAAAGGATCGATTCTTCCGCCAACAGAGATCCATCATATTCCGCAGTGACAACAAATCTCCAACTTCCTCCCAAAAATCTTGCAGCAAAGCTGCACCAACCCCACCCAAGAGACGCAACAGCAAACTCTGGTCAGAGACTTTAGACATCAGCATGAAGAAAAACCTTTCTTCAAAGGAAATCAAACGGCAAGAGGTATGATGATTTATGAACTCTAAAGCCATGTGTGAGGTGGAAATAGTGCGCTATGAAGCAAAGCATTCATTTTAAAGAGTTAATTTTAATGAGTTGAAATTGACCGACTTGAGGGCTTTTTCCAAAAAAACAACAAACTTGAATTTCATTGCAGTTATAAAACTAGTTAATTTGGGACTAAATTTAGCTCTGCCCCTGTTTAATTTGGCCTGTCAGCTCAGTCCTTGGATTCCAAAATCTACATAGCTATTTACCTTTCTCACAACAGTTGACCTGTGTCTGTATTTCTATAGACATAACACTAACCTTCGCAGATTATATTTTTATATGCTAGGATTACTGAAAGAACATTGAGTACTAACTAAATCTAGCTCTGAGTTCACCCAAGATGCTGTGGTGTGATAAAATTCTATGCTAACCTATTTAACCTTTCTATTTTTAATTGAACAATACCAAAGCAACTTCAGCTAAATTTAAAACTTAAGATAAAAAAATTCCTATTCACATAGCAACAATACTTTCTTCAAATTGGTTGATGGCCATTCTTTGTCCCATTGCATTTTGCCAAGTAAATGTTTTTTGTTTTTCAGGCTATATTTGAGCTGTCTCGAGGCGAACAGGATTTGATTGAAGATCTAAAATTAGCGAGAAAGGTCAGTCTTATGATAAATATCAAATATTTCATCATCTTGGCAGATTCCCGCTCTGTCCTTTTCCCTTCTCCCACATGTTTTGGTTGGGAAAGCCACTTCTCAGAAGCAGGAAAATCATAAGGTTTGATGCCTGCCTGTTGACTGCTCTGTGCTGAATTAGTTGATCTCTACTGGCGGTGGGGAGGGGGTAGTTCAATAGAGATGGGGAAACTTCCTCGATGCTGTGCAGTAACCCTGCTGGGAAGTGAACATGGGAGTGAGGTCAAGACTGAGCAGGATTGCAATGCCCCATTACTGTCACATAACTTGCCAACGTTCAGTCTAGGCTCCTACTTTAACAACCAAATAGGTAAGGTACCAAGGGGCAGCTCACATATGTGGGCACCATATCCTCCATTATGAAGCTATTCTGTTGAGGTATGAAAACTGATGGGGAATCTTAAGCCATTTAGAAAAAAAATGAAATTTAGCTGATTGAACCCTAAAATTAACAGATGCTTCTTGAGCTTTTCATTTCAATGAGAAGGGCTTACATTATTTTAGCAATCTCAGTGGTCTGGTACATTCTATGGCCATTTTATTTACCTGTGGAGACCAGCATTACTTTACTGATCATTCCTGTAATATAGATTGCAATTATATTCTATTTTTGTGGTGGTTAGAGAAACTGGACAGAAGATGAGTTATTCTGTTTTTTTAACCTTTCTTGTACAGGCCTATCACGACCCTATGCTCAAGTTGTCCATCATGACCGAAGACGAACTCACGCAAATATTTGGAGCTCTTGATTCGTACATCCCTATGCACGAAGGTAAATACTAGTGAGGTTGAGAATGTAAAACCTTATCCAATACTCCAGTTGGCAATCTTGATAACTGGTCTTTGCATGCAGTCAAAATTCTTAACTTAATCTTGTTTTATTTCCGTGCTCACCTCTAAATAAACTGCATGGCCAGACTGTTGCCACGGAGTCTAACATTGATTGCTGTTTATGCAATAGTTTTATGGCATCTGTTAATCAAATTAGTTCTCCACCTTAATTTCGCAACACACTTAGGAGTGACTAAGGACTTCAGAATTCCTTAAATTCACAATAGTTTTTTAAAAAAGTGCGGAGATTTCATTGGCAGTTCCTAAAAATGTTTTTCTGTGTCCCTTCACCTTTCATTTTTCTCCTCTCCTGGAATTGGGTTAAAAGATCTGCCATTATCTAATAAACTAGCAGAATAGGCATGATTTGGTTGTTCCTTTGTTTAAAAAAAAAATCAATATCCTTATTCATATAGCGTCTTTCATGTCGGGTGGGGGGGAGGGGGTGTCTCAAAGTGCATCACAGGATTTGCTGTAATGTGTAGTGATTGTGTATCCTGTAGGTGAACATTGTAGGCAGTGTTCTGAGTCTAAATGGGAAATGGTTCAATAGATACCAATCTGCTTCTTGGACCTTTCCCCAAGTTCTCTTTCTGGATCTCTGAGGCTAGACAGCGAGTTTCAACAAACAAATTAATGGATTTGTATCTTTCCAGATCTTTTGAGCAGACTTCGAGAAGCTACCAAAGAAGATGGATCAATAGAACAAATTGGTCACATACTTGTGAACTGGGTATGTATCCAAATCATTCTTTTATGAAGTAAAACATGTAAAATGTATAGAAATTAGTTGTATTTAATTAGACAATGCTATGGCTTGGCTGTTAAACTGTTAAATATAAAATCGGTTAGGTTAATGAGTGAGAAGTCTCATTTTGTTCTTTTACGGTCAAGATTGTTTAAAGCAAAATAATTGTTAGAAGAAAATTGATTGCTGTGTAGTAATGTGAGAGATTGCTGCATTATTGCTGAAGGTTTAATTTGAAATCTTGTTCATTCTACGTAACTATTTCAATAATCCTTGCATTTTTTAATGATCCTTCCATTTGACATAGTGCCTTATCACATCTTTGAGACTTAAGTGCTTTGAGACGCTATCCTGTATGGAGGGCACTGTATAAGTGCTTGTTGTTGTCTCAGTAAAAGGGGTGATGAGGCGCTAGCTATATTAAATGCGAGGATTATTAAAATAGTTTATTTGAATGTGGGTTTTTATACAGACCAGGCTGAATCCATAACAAGCAGCTACTTATGTCTAAATCTACTTATTTGTCTACAGTTACCACGACTTAACGAATACAGAGGCTACTGTAGCAACCAGCTTGCGGCAAAAGCACTCTTAGATCAAAAGAAACAGGACAAGCGAGTGCAGGATTTCCTTCAGCGCTGCCTCGAGTCGCCCTTCAGCAGGAAGCTTGATCTTTGGAGTTTCCTGGACATTCCCCGTAGTCGATTGGTCAAATATCCCCTGTTGCTCAAAGAGATCCTGCGACATACACCCAGTGTGCACTCCGACCAACAAAGCTTGGAGACTGCAGTAAGTATTTACACGGGTGTAACTTCCTGCTTACTCTCGGTGGGGGTTCGTAACCAATCTATTCGTCATAATTTTGTGAAATAATTGTAGTAGGTTCATGGTACTTCAGTGCTATTGATTGGTTGACAACAATTTGGCTGTAAAAACAAGCGTTTGGGATTCTCATTACTGTAATGTGTAAATTTAGCTCTCAGTTTCACGTTAAGCAAACCCATAAAATGACTTTATATGTTTAAAATTGCATTTTGTTAGTTTAGGAAAATCTGTCATTTGCAATGCTTATTTACGCAAATCATTAATACTCAACTGTTTGTCTGTTAGATTGCCATTATCCAAGGAGTTCTGTCCGACATCAATGTGAAGAAGGGAGAGTCTGATTGCCAATATTACATCGACAAGCTGGATTATCTTGATGATCGACAAAAGGATCCTCGAATTGAGAATAGCAAGACATTGCTTTGCCATGGGGAGCTGCGAAACAACCGTGGAACGGTATGTTTGAGCACAGCTTTGCCACATTTCTTTCCTTTCAAGGCAGACTTGTTCCCATATAATTCATCTCCTCAGTACCTCATCCAACTGCCCGAGTCTCAACAGTTGAATTTTAACTGAAGGGAATTGCGACACAAGCTAGATTTTGTTCTCAGTGTCAGGCATGCCGACTTTACAGCAGTGTGGATATTGGGCAGTGACTAGATTGGGTTTGGTTTCATTTGCATCTAATCCCTGTTACTCCCACTTCCCACCCACTCCTATCCTGCTGCCATATTGACAGCCGGCGTCACTGTTCACGTGAATGTGACCGCTGCTCGTGTTCGATCACCATGGAAGAGTATTTTTGCGAGAGAAGAAAGGGAATCTGATCAATTTTTTTTTGCTTTCCAATATTGTCCAGTTAACACAATGTGTTAACCTTGTCACCTACAGCATTGTATGGAGTTTACTCAGTCACCCCCAGCGTTGATTGAATATTGTTAGTGAACAACAAGTAGCTGATGACCTTTTTGTTTTCTTCCAGAAACTCTACGTCTTCCTATTCCAAGAAATCCTGGTGATGACCCGCCCGGTGTCCCGCAATGACCGCCAATGTTACCAGGTTTACCGTCAGCCCATTCCTGTCCAAGACCTTCTCCTCGAGGATCTTCAGGATGGAGACACCAAAATGGGAGGTTCCTTCAGAGGTGCTTTTACCAACTCGGACAAGGGTAAGATGAAAACGATAGCTAGATTGATTGCTAAGTATGGATATTGTGTTATTTAATCATTTAGAGATGCTGAACCATCACTATTAGTTCCCATTCACAACTTTTTTTCTCAGCTCAGGTGGAAAACCTGGACTGCCCAGCACAATTCCTTGGGTTGTCTTCCTGATATGAAAGGAAGGCATCTTGTAAATTTGTTGCCGCTCTCTTCAAAGTTCCTTCTTGCTAGAATATTGCCAATAGAACGGTGCTATCTCCCTCTGGTAACTCACCAAAGTGGCTATTCTTTGTGTGAACCTGGAGTGTGTGTGAGTTGGCATTGGGCTTTATTCACTGGATAGTGATCGAGTGGGAACCCTGGGTGACCACATCACCTTCTCCTGCCCAGAGATTATGGGGCCTCCTTACTGGGCGGGGAATGAAACCGCTGCCTCTAATACTATTTTGCGATTGTCTAATTTTATTGAAGGTGGAACGTGAGTTGAAATAGCAGCCTTGGAAACATTTTTTGTTACTGTTTATGGAGTGTTAAGTAAGATGGTTGTTATTTTGCTGTTCCTTTAGTCATTGTATTATGGCCGCTAATCTAATTTGTCTTCTTTACCAACAGCTAAAAACATCTTTCGAGTACGTTTCCGGCAATCCACCCAAGGGCAGTCCTCCCACACGCTGCAAGCCAATGACATTTACAACAAACAACAGTGGCTGAATTGCCTCCGAAATGCAATGTCTGTCTATCAGACCCTGCCTTCTCCGACAGACCATAAGGAGCTCTTCGAGTTGAACGAAGAGTCTGAGCAAGGCTCGCCCCAGCCAGCTGATCCTACACTGGAGAGGTGTTCCCCCAGCTTTCCTAAAGAGAGACAATCCCCCATTCTCACTGAAGGGAGTCAGTCACCCACCTCTACCGAGGGGAGGAGATCACCCAGCCTGTCTGACAGGATGGAATTGGCAGATAGCGGCTCAGAGACTGGCTCTAACATGGACACAAGCGAATCTGAACCAAGTAGCCTGCGAAGCAGCATAGAGATTGAGGAAATCGAGCACTGCAATCCCGTGTCAGAGCAAATCCTGGGAGATACTGAGCAACCAGAGCCAGCGAGAGCAGGAAAGTTAGTGTAAGAGACTTGCCGTTGCTCAGGTCAAGGACTGTGTATTTATATTTCTGTACAGTGTTTAAACTGTGGTGTAGCAGCAGGATTAAGTTACTAATCTTGTTCCTTGTGTGTATTTTTTATTTGTTTCATGGCAGCTACTAAATGCAATGAGCTTTGCTGAAACCACTCTGGTTACTTTCCAAAGTGACATCTCTTAATAAGCCAATGGTTTGTTTAATTATTGGGTTACTGAACTGCCAACAGATTCATGTCTAAGAATCTAATAGTTAGTTCTGTAAATGGAATTCGCTGTCTTTCCATTATTTTTGTATTGTACATTCCCTCATCCTCTGTCTTTGCTGCAGGTATTTTCTTGTTAATATTTTTCTCTGCAGCTTAAAAGAATTTGTATTTTGGTTCTTTTGGCAAAAAGTGAAACCGAGTGCAAGATTATTTAGAGGAAGATATTTAGCAAGTTCACAAACATAAAGTACTTTTTGATTTATTATGCGGATATGTTTAAATCTATACATTTGACGAGACAATAAGTGTAACTCAATTCAGTTGTGTATTTGAGCCATTCATTCCTATGATTGATTTGTAGATCATTCACCCGCTGTTTCATCTTGTGAGGTCTTTATTAATGCAAGCATGTTTTTTATATATAAAAATGTGTGCTTCTGACTACTGTGGAAAAATTGCCAAGGAAAGTTTTGATGGATAGTGGGACGTTGCAGAAGGGTAGTGCAAGAGTAAGTGAGAAGGTTTGCGTTGGGGTTTATTTTAGCAAGAGTAAGTTAGGGATGACGGTTGCATTTGAGATAGTCACCAAATGGTTGGTGAGAATGTTATCCGCATCCCTATAAGGAGAGATTTTGTGACATGAAAAGAGACAAGTATGTATTGTGAAATGAGCGATGGAAGAGAAACCAATAGTTGTATGAATAATGCACGGGGACAAGGTGGCAAATGTAAAGAAAAAAGGGAAATATTGAAACTGGGCATTTCTCTGATGTATAGATTATTGGACCTAAATAAGTACAATAAAACTGGAAAATCTTAGCCTGCAACTGTATGGCTTGTGAGTGTTTCTTGCCGTTTCACATCTTCCTAATACATTCACAGTGGAATACTGGAGTTCAAGCTACGATGGAATAGCTATTTTATTCATCTACAACAATTCAACCTTTATGGGATATGATGGTCTGCGGTTACATTTTTTTTACACTATTTTATTCATATTCTTGGTTTGACCGGGCTTGTGTGGTCTTGAACCACAAATTGCATCTTAGAATGACTACGGTGGTGTATTACTGGAGGTGGTGTTCTTCAGAAGAGATGTTCAACCATGGTCTATATCGTCTGGTGATTCAGATGGGATGTTCACTACATTTCAGACCTGATCCAACATCTTTCTGTGAACCATCGAAGGGTGCTATATAAATTCAAGTTGTTGCTGAGCTGTGGGTTAGGCCCTGCAACAAAAAAAATCAGTGTTGTTGCTGCATTTCACCCACAAAATATACAGTCAATCCACTTATACTTTGAAGTGCTTTGAGACTTCTCAACAACATAAGGTGCTATATCTAAATGCAAGATTATTATTGTTGGCCTATGCTGACAGCTTGTTACTTGACCTATCCACAGCGAGAGGGAGATGATGTTCAGCAGTGCTAGAGCCATTGCTGCTGAAGCCATTGTGGAAACGTGAAGAAAAACCTCTTCGGAAGGAATCCTGCGCAGTGCGACACGGCAGAGGATTTCATTTACTTGACAATCCTGGCACCAAAGGCCGGGCTGCTTTCGATACCTGGCTCCACAAAGCAAATGCCAACATAACGTGATCACTTTAGAGTAAGTATTTCCTGCTTGGTTCTCTGTAAAGTTAGTTAATCCAGGTGCGTAATGTAAACCAAGAAGACCAGCGTCATTTCGAATTCCTTGTGAGGCTGACTGACCGACTTGTGACTTTATTTGGGCCCTCTTCAATCCACGTATGAAGATGCCGTCCGTTTTGCATCGTTGCCTGCATTTTATTTCGATTCTTACTCGCCTCCCCCCACTCCCCCATATTGTTGCTTCATTGATATCCTTGCAGAACGGAAGTTGCAATTAATCTACATGATCTGGTCACTCACTCCACGGCTGTTTATGTGACATCGCTATGTGCAAACTGGTGACTGTTTTGCCCACAAAATACACAGTGAATCCACTTTACGGTATATCCTGTGGAGCGCTTTGAGATGACATTATCAAATGCTATTATTAATAACTTCCTGTCTTATAATAATTGAACGAACCCCCATCGTTCGTTAACAACTTTTAGTTTCAGGTTTCAAGACATGACTCGCAAATGGGTAGAGAGGGGATGAGACAAAGGTTGGAAGGAGAGAATGCCAGAGATTAGAGGCATAAAATTTGGGAATCCAGAGCCACCAATGGTGTGATAGGTATTGTGTGCGAAGGCTGAGTTAGTTGAGCGGTGGAGGGGAGCGGGAATGGGGTAGGAGGAGACTGCAGAGATAGGGAGGTGTAAGGGGGCGGGGGGTGAAGGGATTTTTTTTGTAAGAGAAGGTGAGAACTTTGATATCGATCTGCTGAGATGTGGAAGCCCAGTAAGGACTGCACAACGCAGTTCATGTGGAATGAACTACCCCAGCAGGCTATAGAGGCAGAAACTATTGGTTCACACGGCAGGTGGATGGATACTTGAGTAGGAAGTGGTATAAAAAGATAGGGAGAAGAGATGCAGAAATGAGATTGAAACATCTATTGTGATATGATAAACTGGTGGAACAGGCTCCAGGACCTGTTACCATGGTCCCGAGAGGGAGAAACTTAAAAACTAAATCCACCGGAGAACAAAGACACACTGTGACAGCCCCGAATATGAATGGTCACGTGAATAGAAGGCAGAAAGCAGAAAAACATGGATAAATGCGCGCGCACACACACACACACAATCTGTTTAGGAACACACAATTAAAAGCCGTCTCAAATCATTTATTACGCAAAATAATCGCTGCCTTGTTGAAGTGTTAGTACAAGTCTGTGATACGTTCCAGGAAGTTAGGCTATGCCCCGAGGTTCTGTTGTAGTCTGCGTTCTAACACCTGATACAAGACAGCTGCTTCCATTTCAAGCGTGCAGAATTGACGTTAGGTTTTGAAAATGTTCAATGATACGGTGACACTGGAGCTAACTTGAAAGGGAGGAGAAGACTTTTCAATGTAACTAGCACTTGACAAGAAAGGAGAGGTTTGCAAACTCGGAGTCTAGGATTACTCAGGCCTTTGACACCGATCAGGGCATTACACAGTATATGGTTCAGGACCTGACATGTGCAAGCGACTGCCAGGATGGTGGAAGGCGAAGTGGATGGACCTTGGTCTTCTTTCGGCCAGCAAATTCTTATGTTCTCAAACTCCTCCACTTGCCCTTCATTTAGGATTTGTGGAGTCCTGTAGCTCGGTGGTTAGAGCACTCGCCTCGCAAGCGAGAGGACCCGGGTTTGATTCCCAGGCCGGGCTAAACCTTAGGCGAGTTTCCTTACTCCACACGTCTCTGTTACCCAGCAGTAAGTAGGAACCCGGTTGGTTCGTCGATTGGCGGATCGCTTTTCCGGGGGGGGTAATAAGCCCTTTTTTTAAAAATTTGGTCGCTCAATCCACGACTGTTTGTGGGACGCCGCTGTGCGCAATTGGCTGCTGCATTTTGGCCACAAGATGTATAGTCAATTCACTTTACAGTATATTCTGTGAAGCGCTTCGAGGCTTCTCAAAGACGTTATAAGGTGCTATATCGTTGCAAAGATTATTATTATTATTTGCTTCTTCCTTTTTTTGAATTCCAGGTGTCAGCCTGGCTCTCGCTTCTGAATCAGAAGGTTTGGGACCTCGAGCCACATGTCAGGACTTTGAACCTATTGTCTAGAGGTTGAGACTCCAGCGCTCGGAGAACCTGCATCACTGGAGGCGCCATCCTTCAGGTGAGACGTCAAACTGAAGCCTCGTCTGCCTGTTCAGATGGGTGTTGAAGATCTCACGGTACTTGATAAGAGGAAGGAGTTTCTCTCTCCCAACTGTCCTGGCCAACAGATCCCCCAACTACAAATGGGACACTTGCTCCACGGCTGTTTGTGGAACGTCATAATATGATCCTCGCATTTGACACACTGCATCTTCACTTCGAGAGGTTACGGCAAAGTGCATGACCGTCTGCACTGCAAATTGTAGTGACTGCGTATTTTCTGCTTGTCCCGTGAAACTATCCCAAAATCGGGATGTTTCTCCCAGATTTGTGGTCAACAAACCTCCAGCTTATTTATGTATAATAAAAATAATAATAATGATCCTTGCATTTTGATGCAGCGTCTTATCACGTCTTCGAGACGTCTCAAAGCGCTTCACGGAATATACCGTAAAGTGAATTGACTGTGCATTTTGTGGGCGAAAATATAGAACAGATTAGTTGACACTTGGCAATAATTGCTATAAACACTTTGAGTTATTTTAGCACAAAAAGTTCTCACTGGACTGAGGAACGTTTCCGCAACGTTTATGCTTACTCAACGGTTCCTGTGCCCTGACAGTGTTTTTCTAAGCGCGTTGAAAGATTTACAACTCGTTTGAGAGCCTCTACTTTTTTTTCCCCCCTGCCAATAAAAATAACAATCACTCCCATAGAATAAATACACGTAAAATTAATCATCGTTATCACCAAACCTAAAGACCGTGCAGGATTTTCTCCCTTCGTATTCTCTGGAGGGGGTTGGGGGGGAAAAAAAAACGTGAGCTTTTTTTTTTAATCTCTGTGCCTAAACGATATCGTTGGCAATTTGCCTTCCAAATATGGACGGGAATTTAACTCACAAAGTTGTGGGAGAATGGTTTCTAAAGTGACAATCTAATGCGGTCCCAACCTTTCCTGGGTCAAGTCAGTCGATGCAAAAGGACAGAATTCACGCCCAACTATTTCTGTGCTGATGAGACACAGCCCATAAAACATTTCCCCTAGTTTCGCTATTTATTATTCCAGTAGCAAAATGTACTCTGCCTCGGAAACTGGTTTTGCTTGCTGCTAATTCTGTGCCAGTCTGCACCAGGAGCCTATGAGATACCCTCGACTGTCTGTTGCTTTGTGGATGCCCTCATCAAAAAGAAAAGCAAAAAAAAAAAAAAAATCTGATTGAGTCAACATGTCTCAACGCACTTTGCTGAAGTAACTGTCGAGTGTAGCGACTGTTATTGCTGTACGCCTTAATAATAATAATTACTATAATTAAATGCATCCTTGCATTTGATATAGTCATGATCACGTCATCAAGACGTCTCAAAGAGTCAATTCACTACAGTACATTCCCTGAAGCGCTTTGAGACGTCTCGAAGATGTGATAAGGCGCTATGTCAAATGCAAGGATTATTATTATTATTATATACTGTAAAGTCACTGTGTTATTTTGTAGGCAAATGCGGCAACCAATTTATGCACAGCAATGTCCCACAAACAACCGTGAAGTGAATGACCAATTTTATTTGAGGGATTGTTGGCCGGGGAGAGCTAAACTCCTTTCTCTTTTCGAATGGTGCAATTTTTACTGTTACCACCTGGAAAAGTAAACGGGCCTCGGTTTAAACATCTCATCCGAAGGAATGGGGAATCTTATTATTACAAAATGTGACAGTCCTGTTTTTTGGATACGACAAAGTCCCATTNAAAAATGTTAGATCATTGAGCAATCAAGCGTTGACGAATCTTGGCCCAGGACACAGGGAGACACTCCTTTCTCTTCTGTTATAATCCGGTGGGATTCCACCTAGAGAACAAGGAGACTGAAACTTGATGTCTCATCCAAAGGAGATCACCTCCAACAATGCAGCACTCCCTGACTGTTGCACTAGGAATATCACCTTTTGAGCTCAAATCCCAACCTGGGAACCAGTAAATTCCACCTGGGTCTGGATAGTATTTTCTTCGCATTTCAGAGCGTGCGTTATTTGACAAGAATACTTCGTAACTGTGGGCGTGTTTTCAAGGAGAGCCAGGCAACGTTAAGTAGGCGTGATTAATA